AAGTCCAATTATCAGAGCTGTCAGAGTTTTCTTTCAGTAACTTTTTTTTAATACTTTTTGTTCTTTTACACATGATAATAATGATAGCAATAATAATGTATGGCATATCATTTGATGGTATTATTGATAAATAATAAATAACCCAACCATGCTTATTTTGGTGTTTGTAGTATCAGTTAATAGAGACACATGTGGGGATACACTGCATTAGTATTAGAAAGATGTTCTAAATACACAAGGGCAGAGCTGTGGTTCCTGCAAAACCACTGATTGCTGCAGAATAAAAACCCTCCTGTAAGGTAAATAATGGACGGAGTAAGTAACAGCCAGATGCAAGCAAGAAAAACTACATTCAGCTGAGTTTTGAGAAGAGCTGGGGCAGGGGAAGAAAGGAAGTGGGAGAGACTTTCTGAGTCAGGAGGGTACATTCGACTTACAGGGGCTTTCTAAAACATGAACAGTTCCTGAAGCAGCAAGGAAATGCAGAGGGGACAGATTTCACAAAGGCAGGCTGAAGGAAGACTCTGGAGAACATACCAAACAGCATCAGGGTTAGTAATGCAGGTAAATTGTTTTCCCAATGAGTTGTCAAAGTCACTGTTCTCAAAAGTGATAGAGACAGGTGCCATCCTGATGGATGTCAAAGATTGCAGGAGTCTAAATGAGCAGGGAGTTTATTTAAAAAAAATAATTCAAAACAACAACAAAAAAACACAAAAAAACCCAGGAACCTTTATTATGTAATCAGAAATAATTATGGGAAATTTTAATCTTTTAAACATACTGCTGCATTGCCATCAAACAAGACTTTAACCATAACTTAGAAGTTCGTGCCTATTAGCTGTAGCTTTTTGGTCTGGAAACTCAGCTATAATTGTTACACAAAAACTTTCTCTAGGTCTCTTGCAGTTCTCAGATCCAACTGGCTGAAAGCCACCACGAGACCAAAGTTTTAAAGAATTTTTGAAATATCCTTGTTTTATTAACCTCTCTTGACAAAAATGAACTGAAATTCTGAATGGAAACGGAGTTTGTGTCCCTCTGTACTTAAAAGCAAAAAAAAAAAGAGACCAGGCTGTTCCTTAAATTTACATGTAAAACAGTATGTCATTGCTCCATTTCACCTGATTTACCTACTCCTACTACAACAAGTGTTTTCCTAAAAGCAATAAACCCTTTCGATGCAAATATTTCCTTCCAGAGCTGTGACATACCCCAATATATTGGCTGTTCAAAATAAACAAGTACTGAAAACAGCTTTTTACATCACTACAGCTTTTTACATCACTTCAAATATAAACCAAGATCTAGCAATTACTTCTCAGATATTAGTTTTTCTCTTGGAAATATAATCTTCTGGAACAGATATATGCAATAGATCAGGATAGTCCTGGACAAATAGGTTAGATAAGTGACCAGCTAAGTCTTACAGGCCAAAACTCTATTAAATATGTCACAATAAGCATAGCACAAGGATGGGATGTGATCAAGCTGTGACTGAACATCATATCCATGGACAGTCTGTGGATCATGGGCATTAAAGTTTTCTCTATATAAGTTTAGCAGGTTTTTTTTTTTCCTGCATTTTTTAAAAATCATATTGTTCAGAAGAACAGGGAGATTTGTAACATGCTTATTAACACAGAGAGCCCTAGGAGAGTTTTTTTTACACACACACCCCCCCAATAAAAAAAAAAAAAAATCATTGTTTCCATAACTATTCAGCAGCTACAGTAATTTGAAAATTTTAACCTGTTCCTATTAATGAATTATTGTGGCAATATATTATAGACTTAAAAAACACACCGACTGCTACCATTTTCCAACATGTTTCTCAGGCCTTTTGGCAGCTCTAAATGTTTCTGGAATAAACTTAAATTTTTCAAACGATAAGACTGTGAGAACCAAGACTGCTTTGCACAGCAAGAGTGCTGGGGGACTGCAGCTTTATAGCCAAATGGGACCTTGAAATCCGACATCAGCTTCCAAAGCCACACTCATCAGCACCTTTGATCTTGTTATTGGGAATACGAATAGAAGCATAGAACACCCCCAAGCCTACAAGAACAGGTCAGATTTACTTACTTACAGTGAAACAGAGCAAACCACCAAACATGACTACTCTGTTTCCACAGCACTAACAGCATCAGGCACTCCACAGCTTGGTCAGGAGCAGCACCTCCCTAGCTCTGCTTTGAAGCTAGCAGTTTTGACACTGAGTTTATGAAGACTAAAACACAGCTCTGAGGTTTCTTTTCTGTCTACGATATTTTAGCCATATAGCTATAGATTTAATATATAGGCATCACCTGGTACAAATGATATTCTGAAGCTCAGGAAGTTGCCTGTAAGTCATCTTGGGAACCTGTATCAGGAAGGCTGCTGGCACACAGTGTTACACTTTGGTCTTTCTACTTGACCATGACGATGCAAGGATAAGACATTTACAGCCTGGATTCATCTGACCAATTTTAGACTTCTAAGTGATTTTGAGGTGATTCCAGAAGAGATATCCCCATCAGACAAGCTATATCCAGCACCTGTTTTACTTCATCGACCCTAATAGGAGTCAAGGGTGCTTAGCTAAGACAAAGACACCTGCACTGTTGATGGCTTCAGTCAGGGATCCAGAAGGTATCTCAAGTCATCTAATTTCTTCCTATCTGCATGTCTCAAAAAACAAAGTGGCACAGGGAAAATGATGATATTAATAAATCCAAAAGCCAGGCAATGCATTTGTGAAGTACCACAGGTTTGATGTGAACAGACTGGAAATCACAACTTCAGGGCTTGTAACTTACAAGATGACCAGATTCTTCAGATATTTCTGTTCCCTTGAAGGAGAAGCCATGTCTGGTATTACACCAAATACTGCTTTAAGCATCCAGCTGTTTTACACTCCTCATTAAAATTCACCCAGCTACTGCACATTCCAAAGCACGGGAACAGAGACACATTTACTAAGACATATTTACACTAATCTGAGCCAAATCAGTACTACTCATCCAGGATCAGATTCCATCCCAACATGAGCAGTCAAGGTGAGTTAAACTTGCAACATAAAGTGCAACCAGAGTCCTATTTTGAGAACCTGAGTATCATTTAAGAATCATGCTGCTTTTTCACACCAAGAAAAAGTCTAGTCCTTGAGGTTTATTTTCCCATTTCACGGGAAGAACCGTATGGCCTACCACACTCTGCCTCCTAAGAAGAACATTTCACAAATACGCTGCAAGCATGGTTGGATGGGCATTTTCTGAAGTTGTGTGGACCAGTTCTCAATAGCTACTTGTCAAGCAGGGCCAGATGGTTGAAGGCATTTAAGCATTGCAAGGCCTAAACAAGTAAGGAGTTAATATCACATAATTCACTCAGAGAGCCACCTCTTGTTCACAGCACTCTCCCCCAGAGAAATAAAGCATAAGTTCCTAAATGACCTTGGACGTGGAGAGCTGCACAGGCAGTCCCAACCTAGCACCAAACATTTTAGCCACTGAAATAACTTGCTGAAGGTGCATCATTGCAGCTTCCACACCAAGCTAGAGGTCCTGCTTTCCTGCATTCCCCTGGGGGAACTGCAGCAGCTAGGAGGGTGTACAGAAGGGACAGATAAGACATACCACCAAGAGACTTAGCTGTATCTTACTCTGCTGTGTAGGTATAGCCTCAGGATCACAAAGGTGGAACTCCAACTCCTTCAACAGCCTTGCAACACAGAACAGAAGAGGTATTTACAGCCTTTAAAAACAACTAGTCTTCATTGCTTGAAACCCTACAGCAAGATTGCTTGCCATCTGCCTAATTAAATTGACCATTTGTCCCTATTAGAGACAGCTGTGCTACTTAAAGCAATTAAGATGGCACAGGAGGGAAGTGACATTTTTGGTTTGGGAAGAGAGTGTTTGCGGCAGTGACAGGATTGAAACATTCATCACTATGAAGAGGCGACATTCTTAAGTATGTAACGAAAAAAGGCATTCACCAAACATGAGCCCTTTCAGAAGTTCAAATTCATGAAATGTGTTTCCTTAAAGATATCCTTTGTTCCTATTGAGGAGATTTGCACCAAATTACAGTATTGTGTCTCTGACAATGCAAAGCATTCATAGTCACTGGCCAGAGTTTTACAGCATACACATTTGCCTTTTGATATAGGACATCTGCGAGCTAGCAACAATAATAAATCTGAATGTTAGCACAGATCATTTTCCAAGTTTTAGGTCAAATGCTATCAAAATTAGCTTATCAGCTCATTAAGATAAAACAAGCCGTTTTGTCATTAGCTTTCTGATTAGTTGCCTGGTTCCAGAACCTGGGACACAGTAAATAGATTCCTTTTTTTCCTGTAGCATAGTGTGAATGCTTAATGCCCACTGGTTTTCCTTATAAATCATACACAGGGAAATCACTGCTTGAGCCCTTGCTAGAAGAGGGGAATGTGATGATTCCAGCATGTTTCAAAGAGACATTCCTAAAATAGCTAACTGTTCTGTAATTTTATCACAGTATAAGGCCTGAGCTTAGTGGTTAGGTTCCCTGTTTTGCAACCATAGTGGTTTTGATCTTGTCAGACTTCAAGCTACACAATGATAGGCTTTTGAGCTGGATACTTTGAGAGTAGTGGTGTTTGTGTTTCCTAGGTGGCAGGCTTCCCTATAAGCAAACATGAAAAATGAGCTGCAGCCTTGCAGAGCTCTTTGCTGCAGGAAACTCTGTCCTTTTCTTGGGCACAGAGTGTAGCATCCACAGGCACGACCCTTTGCAGGTATAAGACATGGGAAAGAAAGAGTTGTGCCTTATGGGGAGAGGTAAAATAGTCACCGTTGTAGAAAGTAGGACTTGAGTGTGCTCCAGAATGCCTGGAAGAGCTCCAACAAATAAAATTTAGTGAAGCTGTATGTCACATCTGAGGTCTTGTGCTGGGGTAGCTGTAAGGAAGATACAAAAAAAAAAACCCACCACCCTTTTAATATGTTTCACAAAATGTGTTCTTATTTTAGAGTCTACATATCGTCACCAGGCTACCATTGATGATGAAGTCGTTTCCATGGAGATACTAGATACAGCTGGTCAGGTGCGTGGGTACATGTACTATTATCCAATACCTTGGCTCAGATAGACAGCAGAGAAGGGGAGTGCGGTGGTGGCAGCAGTGCGGTGGGTGGCAGATGTGCTCCACTTCTGGGGACAGAGATTTGCTTCTGAGCAGACCTCCCCCTCCTCCACCACCATCAGCTTGCTGCTGGACCCAGTGTGCTGCATCCAGACCCTTCTGAAAAGGACCCTGCTTTAGGGTTTTCAAACACTGGAAGAACAAAGTCAGGGTTTACTCTAGGATTAAAATGATTTTGTTCTCATTCCTTGATTCAGGGCCAACCCAACCACACATTATTACTATGCACAAAGTCACAGTCTGTTTCTGCAGTCAAGTGATGAGGCTTGACAACGTCAGTCAATGATTCCCACCAAAGTGAAGGGGGCTTTTGACGTAGCCAGGTCCCCCTTCTTTTCAAAACATGGCAGATGCTCATGCTGCACAGCTCTATGCAGTTCATGTGCTGGGTATCATTCCACAGAGACCTTGTTCCAGTTGCCTGCTACCAGCCTGCCCACAGGCAACCCATGACACCTTGGTAGAGTAGATCTCCTGTACTACATGATAAAAAAGGCGACGTGCATAAAGTAAAGCAGAGATACACGGCTTTGCAGGCTTTGGAGGACCAATGTCTATCTGAAGGCCTGGTGTCTTCTTCATAAGTCAATTTCCTAAGGCTGGTGTCTGTCTTTTCAAAACAGGAGGACGCTATTCAGAAAGAAGGACATGTGCGATGGGGTGAAGGCTTCGTGCTGGTTTATGACATCACGGACAGAGGCAGCTTTGAGGAAGTGCTGCCACTTAAGAACTTGTTGGATGAAGTTAAAAAACCCAAAAATGTCACCCTGATCCTGGTGGGGAACAAAGCAGACTTGGATCACTCCAGGCAGGTCAGCACAGAGGAAGGTGAAAAGCTGGCCACAGAACTAGCCTGTGCTTTTTATGAGTGCTCTGCTTGCACAGGAGAGGGCAACATTATGGAGGCCTTCTATGAGCTCTGTCGTGAGGTACGGCGTCGAAAGATGGTCCAGGGCAAGACTCGGAGACGAAGCTCCACCACCCACGTCAAGCAGGCAATTAATAAGATGCTTACCAAAATCAGCAGCTAAAAAGAGCTGTACTAAGCCAGAGAAGCATTTTAGAGCATATTAGCTTGGAGTAGGGACAAGGCCGGCAGAGCACATTTAATTAAAAATGGTCAAAGCTTTGCAATTAAAAAAATAGAAAAGAAACCACACTACTTTTTTGAGTAACACAGGGTCAGACTTTTTTTTCCTGTTTCGAGATCTATTTAGCCACACTGCTTTTGGCTAACGTGGAAAAAAAAAGCAAACTCCAAAGGACTAGATGATTGTGGGGATTGGTACTGACAGAGCGTCTTCTGCTTCTACAAGGCTGGCTCCAATCCCCTGCAAATCAGTAGTGCCTAAACATCTTTTCCAGCCAGCCAGCTGCTCAGTAGCCATTGGAGAGTAAGATTCAGTCCTCAGTCCATCAACAACCATCACAACCAGTGTTCTCAAGGACTGAATACACGTAGAGGCTGCTGTGTTTTACCAGAAAGTTCATCTGACACCTTTCACCAGCTCTAAATTGGCGCATTGTGTGCTTTTACTCCAAACTGTCCTTCCTTGTTATTTTTGTCAAATCTATGAGTGCTGATGTTTTTAGTGAGGTATACAAAAAATATAGGAAAGGTCTTTTTCATAGACCGTTTAGCCAGCAAGACACACATTTCAACAGAGCTGAAGTTCAGCTGCTTTTCCAGATCCTCTGAAACTGCAGAATTCATCAAGAAATAATCAGCTAGTCCAGTGGCATTTCAGTATTTGCCCCTCAAAGTGCAGTACTGTACTTGGGGAAATGGCAATGTATGTGTTGGGAAATTAAACTAAAAAAATAACCATATTACTGTTGATTTAGTTATGGGTAGTTTTTAGCTTTTGTGTACTTTTTTGTTTTGGTCTTATTTCAATGCAAGTAGTTCCTCTTATTCTATGTTATACTGAAGAAGAACTGAATCCATGGGAAGGCAAATATTTAAAGTCTAAGCCCAAAGGTAAATCAGATGTGAATGGCCTCTACCATATCAAAAGACCATAATTTCCAACTGTTTAAACTTCCAGATGTTGCTTGAAACACTCTGTCGTTTAAACCAGCACAGTGACTTTATCTGGCACATTCAATTGAAAGTGCATTTTATCAGATTTTTGTGCCTGGGATAAAAGATGTCCAGTTTTTTCTCCTCCCTTTTCCTCCCTCATGTGTGTCATTTAAGCCAGTTTTGCCTTGTTACTTGACTTGTTAACTGTATGCTAAGAGATGCAAGAACCAAGACTGACAGGCTTTCATTCAGATTGTGCTCGGCTCCCACAAGTTGTGTTGCATCCCTTTAGGCAGCATGGTGTCCAGCTCAGACTGGCATCATGAAGAACCACAGCCAAAGGCTGGGATGACAAATGGGAATATTAGCAGTATTCTCCTTTGAGGAGCAGCCCTCTTGTAGCAACTACTTGCAACTTGATTCTCCACTGCTTGGTACTTCATGTGGGTGGTTGACTCTGTGAGGAAGTAACACCAAAAGGCTATCAAATGCAAATTGCCACAGATGTAGGAGAGTGAGGATATCTGGTTGGATACCACTTTATACAGTTATAGGTAGCCATATAAGAGGTGGAACTGGCTGGAGAATCAAGCCCGTATATCCCTATGGACAGAGAAGAGTCCCAAGTCAGGACTTTTCAAAAGGATTCACTTAAAGACACTTTACCAAAGTAAATTTTTTTAAACATTTTCTCACCCATATCTTTTACCCAACTAGCATCAAAGAACATCACATTTGGGTGTATATTTTATTTGTACTGTTGTTTATTTTCTCTGTTTCCCCCATTCTAGATGATAATGAAAATTCATTCCACTCTTCTGGAATCAATATCTATATTTTGGTCCTCATATTAATGTTGCTGTACACCAGCTACACACACTGCAATGGAAACTTCACTGTGTGCTTCTGGGCAGGGGGGTTCTTGCAACAGGTGATGTCACTATTTCCATGACACACCTGTGCCCAAACTATTGGTCACATCTCTAACTTTTGTTAAAAAAAAAGAGAAGTTTTGCCATTTTTAGTCCTATTAGTACTGCAGAATCAATACAAGTGTAAACAAAAGAGCTAGTGCCTGTTCAGGCACCAGTAGTTATTAGCTGAAGGTCTGAACTTGCACATGTGTACGTTACATTAGGAGCCAGAGTGAGCATGTCACTAAGTCATTCTGTTATCTTTCAAGTCAGTCCTGTTGCACAAACCTGAAGTAAACAAAATCCTTACCCGCAATCCCATGGCAACATAGCTGAGAGGAAAGTCTTTATGTATGTCGGTATGCTAAGCAATTGATTTATCCCTCTCTAAGACAACTTCAACAGTTCTTTTCTCTGAAAACCTTTCTTGGGGTTCAGAGTTCTTTCATGTTAGGAGAGTTGAAAGGAAGGAGGGGCTAAGTTATGGCCCTAATACTTTCCAAAAGAATCCCAGCAAATTATATCTTCTTTTATAATGTCTGTATGGAGAAATTATAAAATCTTGGTGAAAGAAAATGTTCCACTGTGCAAACATGGCTTGTTACATAAAGAACCTCTCATAAAAATAGTAACATTCCTTTGCAAAGACTGAATTTGGAAACTGCCAAACATGATAAACACTCAGTCAAAAAGGAGACTGCTATTTTGTGACCTTTCCTCCCACAGAGACACAAATTTCTTTACTTAATTGCTCATTAATTTTTTTTCTTGGTGTAATGAGCTGCTTGTCAAGCTGGTTATAATGTTTTATTATAATCTGTTGATACATATTGCATCGTATTAAATGCAATCTGATTTACTGTTGCTCACAATGTTGCAACATATTATTGGCTATGCTATAAATGTGTCATATTTCTACAATGTGCAAATTGAGCCAAAAAGTGCCCAAGCATTGAAAAGGCCAAATGCAACATGAACCCACATTCGGTAGCCTTTCCGCAGCAGATATCAACAGTTTAAATTCTGTTTCTGCTGCTGCTGTTTAAATATACATATGTGACACTAACATTAAATTCCTCTCCTCTGCCCATTATCATTTCTGTGGAGAGAGGATGGGAAGGATGATGAACAAAAAGGGGGAGGAAAGGTGAAATGGATACTTGTTACCTACAACAAGTTGATTGTCGTTTATGAAGTTTTTAAATATTTATCTTCAATTGATGAAGAGTTAGTCATGCCCATGCTGCAAGACCTGGATCAGGAACCAAGACTTCCCTAGAACTTTGAGAATCTTCCTATCTGGGGGTTCAGTGCAACCATGGATGGAAGTGAGGGTCAGCCACTGGGTTTGCACCTGGATCCAGACAAGTTGTCCCCAAACCTGGGGATAGTTGCATCTGGCAGTTTGCTACAAGGCTAGTTGATTTTTATATATATAATGATCTGTATGCATTTTTACATTAAAAATATGAAAGCTTGTGCTTGTAGATAATATATAAGAAAAAAATAAAAAATTAAAAAATAGTGCTCTCTCTGCTGAACTCTTACACACTGATCTTCCGTTAGTTGTCTCCAAAGTGTTGTCTTCCAGCTTTTAAGTGGCCAGTTCCAGAAGTCCTGATTCAGTTTTTATTTAATCTTTATCTAAGGAAAACAAACAATGAATTTTGCCTGAATAAGCACTTCAGCATTTGGATCAGTTTATTTTAATTTATTTGGCTGCTGGGCCTGGAATCGAGAAGTTGGGCAGCATCTACAGTGAAGCACAGAACCTCGCTAACTATTTCAAGGCTGATCAAAAAAAGCTACAGGGCCAGCATTATTAAAAGACTTCAGTGAAACCCACCATCTAAACTCTGTCCTGCCAGCTAAATAACATGGATCTCGATCCCAAGCTTCTCAGGTAAAATTTTGGGCTAAGAGGTCTGGGAGATTTATGCCAGCGATTTGGACAGAGACAACTTTTCACCTGCTGCCAGGTATGCCCATTTTCCAAGGATAATGGCACTGTTGTTCTGAAGAGAAGGTACATTATATGTACCTTACATAAGATACATTATATCAATGGTATACAATCACACATAGTGTGGGTATTAAGCTATAGCAGAGGCAGCTTCATGGCAGAAGAGGGGAACCAGCTGTAATCCGCTCTTTTGTTTTCCTCCAAACCTGGACCAACCAAGTAATCCAAAGTGTGATCATAAACAGCTGAACGGCAGTGGGGATATAAGAATGCCATCTCTGGCCAAGCACTGGATGAAATCTGGGTGCAGGATCTATGCTGTGAGGTGAAACCCCCCAAAACTAAGTAAGGCATCCTTCCAGCCACTGTCTGCCTCTAGCACTGCAAAGCAGCCTTGAGTTATGTCAAGCTGCACTATAACTTGCTCCAGTCAAAATAATGTTTCCTGCAAAATAAGTAGTTGCAGTCGTAAAAGCTATGTATAAACAGTGTTTAGGTTCCTTTTATCTTTCTCTTTAATGGCTCAATCCATTTGCATATCTTGCGAAGAAAAGAAAAAAGATAGAAGCTTTAATTAAAAAAGGCTCCTTGGCATTTTGATGTATCTGCCTTTATGTTCTTTGAAAAATTAAACATATAATGAAAACAGTGTCATCTTAGAAACTCTGATGCTATGCACTTTATTTCCATTACAGATGCCAGGCACTAATTACTGCAGGGTTATGAAAATACAGAGCAGCAGCTTGTCGTCCTGTTCTTTGCAAGGTTACTAGGAGGCGATAATGATGGCTTGTGTGAGGCCAGTTCAGTCTGGTTTCTGTTAACACCGTTCCACATGAGGAAAGCTATTACTGCAGCTTACAGTAGAGACAGGCTAAGTTCTCGGGGCAGGACTCCGCTGCCTCCATCAGTTATGCACGGGATGGGTCAAGCCTCTGGTTCACAGCCTTGGTAGCCAACATGTGGAGAAAACACTCCAATAGTCAAGCTCTCTCATCCACTTGAAGAATCTCTGCTCCATTTTTGGTCTGAAGTAGACCAGTAGGAAACTGGGAAGTAAGTTTACACTGCTGACTGTCATCTATTAAATCAGAGAATATGATGGGAGTTTGGTCTTCTACCTTTTTG